TATTAAGGTGGACCTTAACCTCACGCCTTGGACCAACTCGGCCATCTTGCCTTACGATGACATACAGCCTTATTTTTTGCTATATGAAACATTCCAAATTCAACGGTTAGATCCGAGGAGAGTCAGCAGGAGAATGACTTGATTTTCACATAGCTGGACGGCCTAAACCTACCTATATTCTGAGATTACACTGCACAGGTTGGTGCTAAACTGACGACTAAATCGTGCAGTTAAGCTATTTCGAGGGGGCTTTGTCCCTGACCTGAAGGTTGGGTCTGCAGGCCATTCAGGTAGAAATATATCCTGAGAGATTACGCTGGACGATATGTCCAATTCCAGAGAATATGAGCTCAACACAGCAGCAGAAGTGATGCACAGAGTGTATATGTGTTTACAGAGGTCCAATTGAGCACGCAGCCTGATTACTGACACTCTACCTCAATACGACTGACCGCTACACAGTAGCTCCCCCCATACCTCTGCCGTCAGCCCATCAAATCAATTATCATGCACTCCATAATATGCAGAATGTATTGATCAACATCTGACGATGTGGCAACGATATCCTCGGCAGATAGCAAATACTCGGATCAACTCTGGCAGCTTGGCAAGAGTAACTTTGAAGCCCCGCACCCCCCGCAAGCAGACCTCCAAACCCCGACTTGTGCCATTTATGCTTGTCTCTGGGGGCTTCCCATGAATGCTCTCTTGATGCAGTGTAACTGTGTAAGTGTGCACATCCGAGGTATTGACAAAGCTCAGAACTGTGCATTGCCGATGACTGACTCGTGCGGGGTGATTGTACTTGAGATAAATGCTTTGGCACGGTAGTTTGTAGTGAACCACTGACCTCAATTTAACTGTTCAATTGCTAAGATGGCTCCAGACGTAGGAAGACACGTAGGGAATGAGAGCTTTACCCGCTCGACGGTGGTCATCATTGGCGCTGGCATCTCGGGTCGGTCCATACTACGCTCTTCTACGTACTGCAAGCGCGGCTGTTGACACAAGACCAGGATTATGCACTGCCATTGACCTTATCAGACGGAGCAAATGCCACAATTTTATCATCCTAGAGAAGAGTAGCGGGGTGGGAGGGACATGGAACGATAACCGCTACCCTGGCTCATGCTGCGATATCTGGAGTTCTCTGTATAGTTACTCATTTGAGCAGAAGCCCGACTGGACGAGGGAATATCCAGGCCAGGAGGAGATCCTGGTACTGCCGTCGTATGAGGAATCAGGGCCAAGCTGACAGAGACAGGGCTATCTGATTGGCGTCGCTCAGAAATACGGCCTGTACAAGTACATCCGGTTCAACTCGGCTGTGGAGGAAGCACGCTGGGACGACGCCGACCTCAAATGGAAGGTCAGGGTCAATGTCTCCGGAGAAAAAGATAGCCAGTACCTCGAGTCATATAAAATCACCACCGACTTTCTTGTTTCAGCTGTAGGACAGCTGAACGTCCCCCACATGCCTGAGATCCCCGGACTGGACGACTACAAGGGCAAACTGATGCATTCCGCCCGGTGGGATTGGAGCTATGACTGGACGGGGAAGAGAATTGCAGTTATTGGAAATGGTACGTCACATCACATGTTGCTTGAAGGATAGTGAGTAATAGTGACAGGCGCAACCGCCGCCCAGATCATCCCCGAAATCGCCAAAACGGCCTCGCAGGTTTCCGTCTACCAGCGCACCCCCAACTGGGTCATGCCACGCCTGGACAGACCCGTGGGTGCGGTGCAAAGAGCTCTGCTGACATATATCCCGCCCATCCGGTGGCGGAAGCGCGCACTCATGATGGACTTCCGGGAGTGGTTTTTCGATGCCGTCGTTGATGGGAATTCCGCACTTTCGGATGTGATCCGAAAGACGTGTCTTGATACCATGAGAGCGCAGTTGCCCGATAGGCCGGATTTGTGGGAGGTGTTGACGCCGAATTACTCACCTGGATGTAAACGGGTGATTATCTCGGATGATTACTACCCTACATTAGGCAAGGAGCATGTAGCCCTAGAAACTCGTTCCATCCAGCGGATTACGGAAACGGGGATCGAGACTGCCGACGGCGACTCGAAGGAGTTTGATCTCATTGTTGCGGCGACGGGGTTCAGAACAGTCGAGTTCATGTATCCCATCCAGATCAAGGGGTTTAATGGTCGGTCTCTGTCGGATATCTGGAAGGAGGGGGCGATGGCGTACTACGGCGTGACGGTGGAGGATCTGCCTAATTTCGCGATGCTATATGGGCCAAACACTAACCTCGGTAAGTTATTTCTCTTTAATAATGGAGGTATACTGACGGCTCAGGGCATAACTCGATTATCTTGATGATCGAAGCTCAATCACGGTATATCAGCACCCTGGTGAGCCAGATACTCCAGGCGCAGAAGGACGGTCAGAGTCTCGCTTTGCGACCTAAGCCTGAAGCTGTGAAGAAGTTCAACGAGGATATTCAGGCGGCCCTGAGAAAAAGCTCTTTTGCCGACCCCAACTGCAGCAGCTGGTACAAGACCGAGGATGGGCGCATCACCAATAACTGGCATAGTACGGTCGTTGACTACCAGAACGAACTCTCTAGCGTCCGGTGGGATGATTATATTGCCGAAGGAACCGGCAAGTCTCTGATTGGAAAGAAGAAAGAAACTCATATTGGACGGGTGAAAGAGGAGACATTGATCAGTAACACCTCGCTTCTCTGGGGTGCGGCCAGTGTTGCTGTGGCATTGGGAGGATACTATCTCAAGGGGAGTGCTTTGTTACGAGGAAGCCGAGTGAGATGATGCTACTGAGCGGAGGGTAGGTAGTACAATGGAACCATCATGGTAGGAATTGTGCAAGGTTCCCAATTCTGCGCGGGATTCCTGGTCTTTGCTCGGGATCTGAAGATAATTAGCATACGCCGACAGTATATCATGTCAGACAAGGCGCGTCACTAATCATGATTACTGTATCTATGCAGGTCAGATTCCTATTGCTGACCTGCTTCTTTTACATCCATTGCGATAATCGTATGATCTTGGACCGTATACAGATCCCGAGGAAGATGATACGTATTCCCCCTGTGTTACCCAGAGCAATATGCAAAGACCGACGAGTTATCATCCGGATGGACTGATGCGACCATGTAGTTTCAAGGGCAACATGGTAAACTCGAACATATATAAAGGTCTCGAGACTGGCTCTCTGTCCTCTTCATATCAACGACACGACTGAAAACGAATCCAACTCGGACTCATATACTTCGCACCATGGCACCCATCTTGAAGAAGTACAAGGCCGCAGCAGTCAACGCTGAGCCAGGCTGGTTCGACCTCGAGGAGTCTGTCCGCCGTACCATCCATTGGATTGACGAGGCCGGCAAAGCTGGCTGCAAATTTATCGCCTTTCCTGAACTATGTAAGCAGCCTTCCGTATTCCTCAGCTGTACTGATTACCGACTATACAGGGATCCCTGGCTACCCGTATTGGGCTTGGAAGGTCAACTACCAGGAAAGCCTGCCTCTACTCAAGAAGTACAGGGAGAACAGCCTCCCCTCCGACTCGGAGGAGATGCGCCGCATCCGCAACGCTGCCCGTGCCAACAAGATCTACGTCTCCCTGGGCTACTCTGAGGTCGACCTTGCAAGTCTGTACACTACACAGGTCCTGATCTCTCCCACTGGCGATATCCTCAACCACCGCCGCAAGATCCGGGCCACCCACGTCGAGCGCTTGGTCTTTGGTGACGGAACAGGCGACACGACCGAGTCGGTGACGCAGACGGAGATCGGCCGCGTGGGCCACCTGAACTGCTGGGAGAACATGAACCCGTTCATGAAGGCATATGCGGCCTCGCTGGGCGAACAGGTCCATGTCGCTGCCTGGCCGCTGTACCCTGGCAAGGAGACGCTAAAGTACCCGGATCCGTTTACAAATGTGGCCGAGGCGAATGCGGACGTAAGCAATCCCTACTCTGGGTATCTGTCTCTGAACTAACAGTTGCCCAGCTGGTCACACCAGCGTATGCCATCGAAACGGGTACTTTCACCCTGGCTCCATGGCAGACCATCACCGCCGACGGAATCAAGCTCAACACGCCCCCGGGCAGGGAGCTGGAGGACCCCCACATCTACAACGGTCATGGTCGGATCTTTGGTCCAGACGGACAGAATCTCGTCGCGCATCCGGACAAGGACTTTCAAGGCCTTCTTTTTGTCGACGTAAGCACAGCAGTCCGTGGTGTATGTCTAGGGACTAATTTGAATAGATTGATCTGGACGAATGCCATCTCTCCAAGGCACTCGCTGATTTTGTAAGTCTGACGCTGCATGAATAAGCCAAGCTAATGCATCACAGGGTGGCCACTACATGCGTCCGGATCTGATCCGTCTGCTGGTCGACACCAACCGGAAGGATCTGGTTGTTCATGAAGACCGTGTGAACGGGGGAGTTGCGTATACTCGTACGGTGGACCGGGTTGGACTGTCGGCGCCTTTAGAGGCCGTGAGCCAGGAAACTGAAGATGAGAAGTGAACGTTGCTGTTTGTTGAGACTCTCCGCTCTTTTTATTTGTTCTATCCTCGATATAATGTAGACTGGCATCGGAAGTCTGCATGTTCTGCCTATGGTAAATCAAATTTATAGTTACAGATTTTGAATGAATACTAGAATAGAAAATGTTTTATCGATTTGAGAAAAACAAATTTCTTTTTCTCCACACATCATACGATCCTGATTTATCAATTTTAATGTAAGATGCGGCAATAAGGGTTCTGCTCTGCTCGGTGTCTGCTCTCGGGGATTGCACACGGGATCTCTTCAAATTTTGCCTCGAGCAAACACCACGCAGCAATTTCAAACGGCATCTGCTTTCTCTTTCTAATGATCATCGAGAGACACCATGACTACTCCTGTACACCGAACATCCCGCCGTCCACCGGTCAAGGTTGCTTGTCTGGCCTGGTAATCCACCTAGCCACCGGGGTAGAACGACAGCTGACGACTGATATAGTCGCGCATCACGGATCCGATGCGACGGTCAGGAAAAATGCGCGAATTGCATTTCCCGGGAGAGAATATGCTGCTATATTCCCAGCAAGCGAGGCGGAGCGAGAGTTCCTCGCACCAAGCGCAAGAGCAGCAGCAGACAGTCGTCATCCTCCACTATACGGACTGTAGGTGGGAAGGATGAGATTCCGCAGGAATCAACACCTATTGCAGAAGGCCCATGGAATTCGAACAATGAGGATGGTACAATTGTCACGTTACGTCTGAGTTTCTAGTCACTAACAGATCAGACCTTCTCGATCATTTTATGAGTCTAGGGAAACCAGGCGCAGGACTACGCAGCATCGAAAGCTCGGTGGCCGAGATGGAACACATATTTGACCATATCTTCGGGGTTGAGAATGGGAATCATCTTGTCCCTGAAAACGATGAGTCCGTCCCGGATCTATTGCAGGTATACGGTAGCGACGAGGACATGTACGCGACCCCATATCCGTTGCGACAGCCTACTGACCAGTCAGACTCGATGCTTACTACGTCTTCATCCACCTCTACTATCCCATCCTACCTCCGCCGGAACGATTCCCGGCCTACAATCGTCCACTGGATGAAAATTCACCATTCCGACCGTCCAGTCCACTAAGCTTGGCCATCTCTGCCATCCTCGTTCTCATCCCGCACCCCGGGATCAAGCAACCGGCGACGCCGGAGGATACACGGCTGCGACGGAACGTAGCCCATAGTTTTGCGCAGTCGGCTCTCCAAGCAGTAGAGGCCGATCTGGAGTTACTAGACTCCTCGTCTGACCCGTCCAGAGCACTAAGTGACGGAGCCCCGATGATCGCCCGGCAGCCATTCCATCCGAAAGTGCCCCTGTCACTCGAGGCTATTCTGGCGCTTGTACTCTTGAGTGTTTATGAATATGCCCAACGTGGGAATATCAGAAAGATGTGCAATCGGGCCGGACAGGCCTTGGCAGCTGCCATGAACATGTCGTTGCATGAGATGGTCGAGGATGACGAGTACGCCGAGGCGCGTCGGAGAGCTTGGTGGATTACTGTTTGTGAAATGTTCTTGAAGTATATGACGTTGGCTAACGATCGTAGTATTTGACTGTTTGTCAAGGCTCGATAGCCAGCGGGATGGTAGGTTATCCTTATTCTTCCGAGGATTAAGGTCTGATCTTCATAGCCGGCTGCATTCAATTTGTACGACCCGCGATTTGTGACGCCGTATCCCGAGGTGGGACTTCTTCCTGATCATATATCATATGATAGAAGACTAGCTAACCATAGGGTTGCTGCAGGGATGGAAACTCCTCATTGAGGCGCAGCAGACAATCCTCGAGGCCACCACGTTCGTCCACGATCTCGACCAGACTGTCAAATCTCGGTTCAAAGCATCCTGGATCTCGAGTCGAATGACAGAACTAGACGATCAAATCACGACCCTCCTTCTTCTCTGCAGACGGTCCTCCTTATCCACGACGGTCTCACCCTTGGACTCGCCGGAGAAGATAGTCTCACAGACCATCAACCAGATTGCGGAGATCAAGCTGCACAGGTACGCCACTCAGCTTTCTTTCAGTCTGTTGCTGACCATCTCAGCGCCCGCATCAAAGTCCACCGATTCTGCGCCTTCTCGGACGTCCCCATCTTCCGCAAGCGCCACTGCGATCTGCAACCCGAATGCTGTGGCGCCGCGTCCGCGGAATCCGCCATCCCCTCGCCCCCGGAAGATATCCCCCTTCCCTCAATCATGAAATCCGATCACCCCGATCTCACGTTCCCTTTCTCCTCACATACATCATCCAAGATATGTCTTCAGTCTGCCTTGAACATCGTCACCCTGGTTGATAACCTCCCCTACCCGAATCCAGACCATACCATCCCCTTGACCCTACCTCCATATCTGTCAAATGCCTACCGTGTAGAGATTCCCCGAGTGATGCCAACCTTCGCTTGCTGCGTAATGCAGGCGAGCTATGCGATGCTAATGCTTTATCTCAAGGCGCGGGCAAAACATGCCAATAGCCCCGAGGACTCGGTTTCCGCCAAGGGTTTGTCGCTCACCGGGTTTCTGAATGAGTTGCAGCAGAATCTGAGACTTGTTTCGAAGATTCTGGCCAACTATGCGATTGCTGCTGAGGCGTTGCAGGGGATGAAGGGTGAGTGTTTGTCTTTTGGTTTGCTGCTGTATTGTTTGCTGACCAGGGTAGAGGAGGTATCGCATTGGGCTTTCTTGGACGGTTGACCGGGTCTATATTATAGTACTCTGTATGGTCCATGAATCTTCTCATAACGTGCAGATATATCCGGAATTCCACTCAGTTGTGATCTTTCCTGAAAGTGATAAGAGCCAGGGCTCTCTAGATTCAAAACGAATACCCTGTATAATAGTGAATTCTGGAATATGCCTCAAAAAAGGCGATATGACTTAATTGTGTGAATATCCTACATTCACTCTTCTTTACTTGCGGGTCTTTACTTGTGATATCACCAGCCTCACTTCTTCCTCTCTCATCTCATCGCCCTCTTACCATTCCCGTCTCTCTTTACCAACACTGAGGAACGTCTTCCCTCATATTAAACAAAACAGCTCGAAGGAAGAACCGATAGAACTTCATATACCCAAGGTATGGCAACACCGCACCGCCCCGCTTCCCTCTGTCTCAGCAGACTTCGCGCAATCATCAGCCGCATGGACCGGCTGAATATCGTAATCAAAGAAAAACTCGCACATTTAAAGAATGAGACTCACGAACTGAGGCGGTAAGTTGCCTACTTTGGCATGTAGTGCACAAACAAGGACTGACATCGGCGTTTAGTGTCGAGGGCCAGCTGACTGAAGTCGAACTTTCCGAACGAAATCGGCAGATCCAGACTGAAAGGGAACAGTTGGCGGCTGTCATGAAGGTGTTCCGTGACATGCTTGACCAGTTGGGATATGTTTTGGACTCCTCTGAGGAAGGAATTTAGTGTGTGGGATACTTGTACGTCTGAGATTTGGGTTTGTCTGGTGATAGTACTTGGGATTTTTGTTCCTTGCAGTCTCTGCTCCGGACGACTTTCGTCTGGAGGTTTGAGCCGATTGTTTTACATTATGGCGGACAATCTTCTGCTTGACTTGTGACTCCCGAAAGTGATTCGCCTCTCTTCATGTTGATGTCCAGAGGTCAGCATACAGAGAAAACACGGCCCTGTACCTAACAACTTTCTCATGGAAGCTATGTTCATGGATGCTCAGTCACCCTGATATAGTACACTGCTGGCCTGAATTTATAGAAAATGATCTCTGTGTGAAAGAGCGAGTTGCGCTGCGATTCTCACCATGAGACAATACCAGCTTCCTCCCAGATAAGCTCGGTTGTCAAGTCATGATGTGAACAGGTAGTGGGTATCAGACACTCGTGAAACCTTGCGAATTAGTGTGGTCTTAAGTTCATTTCGAATTGAATTCTCATAGATGATCGATATCGACTGCATATTGACAGACATCTCAGAAGTTATCACGGCAAACACTGTACTGCAGATATATCGTATCGATCCTTCTCATGTCAGTAAACGAACTATAACAACATCTGAATAGACATCATACCATCGCCCCTGTTTATAACCCACATTCGGCAGTCTTCCTCTCTCCACAAATCCGCGTTGTTCATACCACCTTCGCAAACCCTCCCCATTCTCCCTCCCGGTAGTGTCAACCGACATACAGGCGATGATACTACGCACTCGCCCCTCGTCCTCTGGAATAACCTGGACATGCGTTTCGTAGTCTTCGTGTTCGCGCGCACGGTGCCATACTCCCGCTTCCGACTCGGCAGACTCAAGGATGGATGAGAGTAGACGCCTCCCCACGCCTTTCGATGTATATTCCGGGTGAACGTACAGGGATACCTCGACTGTCGGCGCGTAGGACATCCGTGTGCCATTAAATGGGGCGAGGTAGCCGTACCCTAGGACTTTGCCGGTAGTGTTGTTAATGGCAACACGATAGGGCAATCCGCGGGATTGAATGTCTCGGAAAGAGGAGATAAGGGATTCAAGGGGCGGAGGATGTCGGAGGAATGTGGCGACTGACTCGCGCACGTAGAAGCTGTAGATGGTGTGGATTTGAGGGAGGTCATCCTGAGTGGCTTCTCTGATTTGGATGGACATTGTTATTGTAGGTTTTTGATGTTAGGAGACAAAGGGAAACGTGATACTATGGATTAGACTTGGGCGATGATATGAGTTATTGGCTGGCAGGTGTCGGGCTCGTGTTGTTTGTTCAGCCTAATAATGGTTGTTTATATGACATGGCTTATCAGGAGTCTCGTATTCTCGTCCACTCCTCCTCTCGCTCTGTTCAGTTGAATAGCATTGCATGAGCCTTATTGGGCTGAATATATACTCGTATACATCAAATCTAGCCGCATATGTTGCATGTATCACCTATTATACACCACCTCTGTTTTTGACCCTGCAACTTTAAAGTATTCCAGCTATATTCGCATTGAGACCTCTATTTCTCGCTTCTGTCCTGAGAAGCTTCAGTCGTGGATCTCTCGACCGGTGCTTCGGTGGCGGATGTTGTATAGTCTCCCAGACCAAGGCCAGGTGATTTGTAGTCGTAGTCGTACCACCAGCCGATGTCGTTGATTCCGGATGCATAGTATTCTTTTCTCATGGGTTTGTTTTTGTGGTTTCTATTGTTGAGCTGTCTGGTTCCACGGACACCGTAGTTGGTAGATGCTTGGGTGTCGTACGTGCCATACGTACTGTCGCTGTCTATGGGTTCGCTCATGTTGAGTGGAAATTCAATACGCTTGAACTGATAGCTTTTTCGTTATGTTTGAGAGGTTTTGAAAATATAACATGGTCGTTGAGGCGCATTTTATGTGTGGCAGTGGCAGTGGCAATAGCTATAGAATGATATACTCCTGATGTCACCACAGCCGAACGCATCTGAGATTGACAACTTTAACTCAGAGTCTATTTGTTTAGAGTTGCCATCTGTTTATTAATTGTTTCTCAATATGAAACAGAACAGTGGAGCTAGTAAAGGAGTTTATGAGAGCTTGTTTCTATCTGGTGTACATTAAACTAAAGTTGGCGCGGAGAGGATATATATTTTCAGCGGCCATAAAGGCGCATGAACTCATCCGTACCATTCTCATATCTTACACTCAATTACAGTTTCACTATGGTATATCTAAAGACATAACTATAGCCAGTGCTTTATTGTAGATTTGATTACTGAGTCGCAGACAATATGCATCAGAAGCTGGCCTCGCCATTAATTTGACCACTCTCGATGCTCTCGGCTGGACTTCGAAGCTTGCGGATAATCAATCTATCGCTCATGTCTCACAATCACAATCGGGAACGGAAGATCACTTGCCCTAGATTCTAGAATAATACCGAGTCCAGGGTAATCAGCACCAGCCGGCCAAGGGGGGACAATCTGCCGGGAACGTCCACAATGATCAACAGAGGCTCAAAGAATCAGAACTTTCAATAATAACAACAATACGATAGCAGATCTGGCATCGATGATCCCTTCCCACGGCGTATGTAGACTGGGACATTTGATTGTACCTTATGTAAGGGGGAGAATGTAGGGGGTTTGCCGGCGCTGCTCGCAATAACGTCGTGATCGACAGTATGTTTTCGGACATTGCCTTGGAAACGGGAAGTATGTGTCATATTCTTGAATTGTATCATAAAAAGATGAAGCAGCTTGAACAGATGTCTCGGTTGTCTTGTTTCTGTCTTCAGTTTATTCATAGTCGACAAAATGATATGGTATCAATCAGCTTCCTTGCTGGGCGTCGCTGCAATCGCCCACGCAGCCCAGGTGCACTATTCCCTTGACTTGACATGGGAAACTGGCAGTCCCAATGGTGTCAGCCGGGAGATGATCTTTGTCAACGGTCAGTTCCCCGGTCCCGCGATCATTCTCAACGAGGGAGACGAGGCGATTGTAAGTATATGGCAGCATTGCAGCATATAAAGGACGGCATACTGATTTGGTAGATTGATGTGACCAACCACTTGCCATTCAACACATCCATTCACTTTCACGGCATCGAGTAAGTACTTCGCAGCCAGGGGATGACTTTTCTGACGTGGTATAGACAGAAAAACACCCCGTGGGCTGATGGAGTTGCTGGTCTCTCGCAATGGGCCATTCAACCGGGCCAATCCTACACCTACCAGTGGCGAGCGGATACTTATGGAACCTATTGGTGAGCTTATCTCTCTAAACATTATCGTCAAAGCTAACGTCTCAGGTACCATGCTCATGATAAGGCTGAAATTATGGACGGACTATACGGACCGGTTCATATCAGGTGAGATCTCAACACAAGGCAAGACAAGACACATATTAACGAGAGATAGACCTTCCCCTAACAGAGATTCCCCATTTTCAATGATCTCCAACGATCCGGCCGATATTGAGGCCATGAAACGAGCCGAGCGCAACGGCAAACTTGTCATGCTGTCAGACTGGGACCATCTGACCGGCGAAGAGTACATGAAGGCCATGGAGGAGACCGGATACGATATCTTGTGCGTCTGACAAGCCTTATTCCTCCGGATATCACTGACCATATCAGCTGCTCCGATAGCGTTCTCATCAACGGCCGCGGCTCGGTGTTCTGCCATGACCCCGAGGAAATGACCAAGATGGTCCCGCCACCGGCAATGGCCATCATCAACGCCTCGTTGACTGACAAGGGGTGGGTCAATCCATGCATGTCACAAATCCGATATAATGCTGACTAAAAAAGATGCCTGCCATTTGTGCTTCCCATCCAAGGCGACTGGCAACATCACCCTGACAAGGTCCCACCCGGCCTGAATGAGGGCTGCCATCCAAGCACCACGCAGGAGACAACCTTCACAGTGGATGCCAGACACCAATGGGCAAGTTTCCACTTCATCAGTGCAGCCAGTCTCAAGGTGCTGGTCGTTTCCATCGACGAACATCCCATGTATGTGTACGAGGTGGACGGCCGGTACATCGAGCCGCAGCTGGCGCACAGTGTGAAGCTATACAACGGCGAGCGGTACTCGGTCATGGTCAAGCTGGACAAGGAACCGGCCAACTACAAGATGCGCGCGGCCAACGACGGCGGCAACCAGATTGTCTCCGGGTTTGCGACAGTCACCTACGAGGGCGGCCAGACCAGCCAGCGCCCGTCCCAGCCGTACATCGACTACGGAAGTCGCAACATGAGCGCGGATGTCATTCCGCTGAATACAAACAATCTGCCTCCATACCCGGCCATCAGTCCTGCCTCTGAGCCGGATGACTTCCACATCCTGATGCTAGGCCGCACCAACTCCTCCTGGGAGTGGTCGCTGGACGGAGCGACCTTCCTGCCTAACAACCTTGCTGCATCGCCGCCAGCCATTCTGAGTCCTGAAGCTCCCGAGTTTGCGGACGCGCTCAAGATCACGACCCGCAACGATACTTGGGTTGACATTGTCTTCCAGCTGGTTGTCGGTGAAGTTACCCCAGTCCAGCCTCCGCACCCTCTGCACAAGCATTCCAACAAAGGCTTCCTCCTGGGAACGGGCCAGGGCAAGTTCAACTGGACATCGATCAAAGAAGCCAAGGAGGCGAGCCCGCAGAGTTTCTTAAAGACGCCGATCTACAGAGATACGTTTACTACCTCGCCGCGTGGAGAGACGTGGACTGCTATCCGGTACCATGTCGAGAATCCGGGTCCGTTCCTGTTGCACTGCCATATGACAACTCATCTGCAGTCGGGAATGGGACTGATTCTGATGGACGGAGTGGATGTGTGGCCTGAAGTGCATGCAAACATGATTACTCCTACGTGATTGCTAGGAGCGGATACCCTTATGGATCTTCGGTACATAGATTCATTGCATAACATTTGATATTTGTTTACCTTTTACGTCATTTATAGAGTCTGAGAATGTAGATGAAGCTAGAATCGACTCCGATAAGTATAATGTGGCGCATATATTGTTGTTGATCTCATAACTCATTGGGGCATTCCGCTTGCATCAAGGAATAATCAACAGGGGAATCGGACTCGTCCTATCCCTTCTTTTTACTTCGTCCGTGAGAAGATCATGAATCATTGGTTCTCGCATCCAAAGTCCCCCAAAGATTACTGCATTCGCATGTTCTGGCCCCTTGCATTCCTCGTCCAAGCCCCCTTGCATCGTACTACTCCGATCTCAGTATTAGTCCATACTTGTTTTTGTTTACGAATTTCCGTGTTCATTGACCTTCGAATAACTTTATTAGCTTCCCCATATCGCCTCGATGGGTTCAGCAGAGTCTCTGCTCACACGACCAGCCACCGACACAGCCCGCAATACACCATGTTCCATTCAAGGGCTCTCCTTCTCTCCTGGCTCGCCGGCTTCACCGCGGCCAAGGATATCCATCTGGATTGGAACATCACCTGGGTCTGGGCAGCGCCAGATGGCTTTGGCCGTCCCATGATCGGGATCAACAACGAGTGGCCATGTCCGATTATCAATGCCGACCTGGGTGACCACCTCATTGTCGATGTGCACAATGGTCTGGGGAATCAGTCAACGGGGATTCACTGGCATGGCTTCCATCAATACATGACAGGAACTATGGATGGCTCAAACCAGGTGACCCAGTGTGCGTTGCCTCCGGGAAGCAGCATGCGCTATGAATTCGATGTAAGTATATCGTCGCCAAACCGTGTATAGTGTTTATACTGACGAGAAAGGCCAACCAAACCGGTACTTATTGGTATCACTCGCACGAAATGGGCCAGTATCCCGACGGACTGCGGGGCCCGTTCATCGTCCGGGATCCCTCGCCGCCATTTGCCTACGACGACGAGTTTACGCTGACTCTGACCGACCATTACCACGAGCAAATGCCCGTTCTTCTGCAGCAGTACGAGGCCCAAAGCGTAGGCGCCCAGGCCGGCGTCGATGAACCGTTGCCAGCGGCAGCTCTGATTAACGAGGGGTTCGACTCCACCACTCTCCATGTGGAGCCCAACAAGACGTACCTCATCCATTTGATCTGCGTGGGTAACTGGCCCGGCCACGTTATTGTCTTTGATGACCATGAGATCAGTGTCGTTGAGGTGGACGGCACCTGGGTGGACGCGTACCCTGCGGGAGGCAAGAAGATCCGGCTGGCCACAGGCCAACGCATGAGCATCCTTCTCAAGACCAAGGACAATACCGACAGGAATTATGCCATTTGGGACTCGATGGACGTCAACATGATGTTCTTCTATGAAAATCGCGCTATTCCCGAGGGTTTCAACCCTAACACGACGGCATGGCTAGTCTATGACGAAGCAAAGGAGCTTCCTCCGGCACCAGACGTCCACGAACTCGACCCCAACAACGACTTTGTCGACGATCTCGTGTTCGTGCCAGCGAACCACGAGCCCCTCCTCGAGAAAGTCGACCGTCAGATCTTCTTCAACACCAGCGTGACTCAAAGCGACGGCCGCAGCGTGTACACCATCAATGGACAGACATATGTCGATCCGGAGGAGCCCACAATGTATACGGCGCTGGCAGCAAGCCCAGAGAACGCTTCCAATGAGTCGATATACGGCCAGGTCAATCCCTTCGTGGTTCAATATGGCGAGGTCGTGGAGATCATCATCAACAACCACCACGGCAACCTGCACCCCTGGCACCTGCACGGCCATCAGTTCCAGGTCCTGCAGCGCACCATCCCCGAGGGCGGGTACTTTAACGGCTACTTTGCAAATATCTCTTCGACGCCTGTGAAGCGGGATACCATCATGGTGCAGAACCATGGACACGCAGTGCTTCGCTTCCGCGCAAATAACCCAGATAAGTTTTTCTTCGCCCATTAAAGAGGATGCATACTGACCTGTACTACGAGTTTGGCTCATCCACTGCCATATCGAATGGCACGTCACCAAGGGGTTGACAGGCACTCTGATTGAAGCCCCGGCGCAGCTGCACGACATTTCAGTGCCGTTGGATCATCAGAAAATCTGTCCCAGCTATGGCACGCCACCGGGTGGTAACACGCCTCCACCAAATGAAGCGCCTCCTGCGGAGAGCACCACTCCGCCCTCATCTCCTCCTCAGGATACTCAACCTGGTGATAGCCCCCCTGCAAATGATCCTCCCCCGGCGGAGAACTCCGCCCCGTCCTCGCCTCCTCCTACCCAGGATGCTCCCCGACCTGGTGGTTCACCAGGTTCACCTCCTCCTCAGTATCCCCCTCAATCCTGGAGTCAATCGAGCAACGCCCAGCCACCAGCCAACAACTACGCACAAGGGTATCCAGCGACTCCAAGCAATGCTGCGCCACCTGCCAACAACTACGCACAAGGGTATCCAGCGGCTCCAAGCAATGCCGCGCCACCTGCCAACAACTACGCACAAGGGTACCCAGCGGCTCCAAGCAATGCCGCGCCACCTGCCAACAACTACGCACAGGGCTATCCCTCTGGTTACGTTCCTGTTGCACCTGGCCCCGTAATCATCGACTCGGAGTTGCATTACGGTGGCAAGAGCAGTCACGTTGGATCTTCTGGCGTCAATGCTGGCCATAGAGATGAGATGACTGCAGATAGTGACGGCGACGCGAGCGCCTCATAGTTCTTTTCTTGTTTATAGATTAACTTAAACTTTTTAATATCATTCTCTGGTAGATATGCCAATAGCTGTTCTTAGTATCATCTACATGTATGAACTATCAATGGTCACAATACTGTGTATACAAGAGAGCGTAGGAATTGTCAGTATTAAAGTGCTCTTGATAATCGCAATGGCATAGTAGAACGTTTCAAGCTAGCTATCTATGAGATAGAGTGACAGGGCGCAGCGATAGAGTTCAAATCTGTCTAGCAGAAAAGACAGGGTAAACACCAGATAGAAGGTCTGGCGTTGAACTTCAAGGTCTGTGGATCCAGATTACAGCTACACAAGTCATCATTGAATACACGTTGTATTGCCAATGCTATGCGCATATTATATTAAGTAGAGTGTTAAAAGATACAGCCCGAAATTTTTTGAGTCTACTGACATCTCCATCAGTTCTTCGTCTTCGAAGGCGAAGCCAGAACCTGCTCCAGCCACTCGTAGGAAGTAGGAAGACTGTTGGGATATCCCATATGCGGGAGACCCTTGTAGAATCTGCAAAAGTCAGTACACTCCATTCTTCAAGTGGACGATAAGATGAGATAACATACCGTCCCTCCTTGGGCGAGCCATGCTCAAACAGCACCAGACAATCCTCAATCGGCACAACGCCATCATCAACGCCATTCAACAGCAGCAGACGGCAGCTGGGCTGATCGACGATGCCCGTCTCAACAAGCGAGAACTTCTTCTGTGCGCCGGCTACGAACTCCTCGACGGTCTTGTACCCGTGCTTGGTTGCCCATGCGGGGGTTAACCTATCTTGTCAGCTTTTCTCATTTGTATCAGGGGAAGGAAGCATACTCAAAAGGATACTCGTGGTCATTAACCTTCGCCAACCACTCCGGATCAAGATAATGGTGGCATCCCGGACCATGCGCAATAGCCCCTAGCAGGCGGTCACGGTGCGTATGCGCCGCCCGGATAGCATAGTATCCGCCCGCACTCAACCCCCAGACCACCATCTTGGCCGTGTTCAGCTCGGGCCGCTGGTCGAGGTAGCTTAGGACGCTATCCCACAGTCTATCCGGCGAGGCAGGGTCCGCAGGGTCAGCGGGACAGTCCGCCGTGCCGGGGATCTCAGCGATAACAGCCGCCCAGCCGCGCGCGAGGATCTCGTGCGTGCGCTGGCTGTTGTCTGGCCGGTAGCCGTCTAGTCCGGTCATGATCAGCACTACAGGGACGGGGTTCGACTGGTCTGCGCTCGCCGGGGTGCGGATGTAGATGGGGATGTGCGCGCCGTCGTTGCCGGCACGGTAGGTGTGAGGCACGATCACCTCGTGGATGGGCTGGGTCCAGAGGCTGGTTGCCTTCAGGTAGGCCTGTTTCTGGCGCTCAAAGGCTACCCGCTTGATGGACTTGGGCTTGGTGATGTCCACGTAGGGGAAGCGAGAAATGCGGTAGACGACCGCGGCGCGGCAGAGGAGGTTTGAGGCCTCCTCTTTTTTGCCGGCTTGGAGGGCCTGCGCGGCTTTTTCCTCGAGGGCAGATGCCGTGGGGAGGAATGCCTGAGTGTATTCATCCGAGGCAGCGTCGTTGATGTTTTTCTGTCGGGTTAGCAGGCTGGCTGTAGATGGTAACGACTAGAGCATACCGAGATGAGATGGTTGAAGATGGGCTCAAAGTCCTCGATGGAGCCGTCATGGAAGGGATAGACGGATTTCGAACACTAACAACTATCAGCTGTATTCTAAGGTTCTATGGAGGAAACATACGGCAAACTTCCATCTCGACTCCCACAGGACCTTCAACGAGCCCTTGTGGGGGTAGACGGTGTCGAACTTGTCTCCGAGGATCCAGCGTGGCATTTTGACTACTTGCAGTGGTTTAGCTTCAGACACAATTGATTATGATTTCCACTGATTTCTAAGCAGCTGTCCTGTACTTATACCCTTTGTGGAAGGGTTGACAATGTTTACGAAACACGCAGATGCATCCAGCCATACGGATTTCCCATTTGGGCCATCCTCGATGCGGCCGAGTGATGAGGCACGCATGCAGGAAGTTGTAAGACACACCGACTGATTTCGGGGGTATCTAAATATAGAGCGAATTCCAATGCCAGTGCTGCATAATGTCTGGGTCTGGAATTATGCGCCGAATGCACGCATTGCATAGTGGAATTGAGTGTCTTGTCCAGAAATGGATGTGGTATGGGGTTACATTCGTCGAGTCCATGACACAAGTACGTGCAATGCTTGACTCATACATGTGGATTTGAAAAGTCAATTTGCAGCATGAAGCATGACATGACCGTCTAGATATAGTTCAGAGCATTTCGTATTCATTCTGGAACTCATGTCTGGTTGTAGAGATTCGGTCTCTCCGAACGTAACCCAACAGCGCCATGTATCAGGCCATATACAAAGTCAATTGACATTTGCCACACACAACAGATACCAAGAAAGTTCCACAAGGAAGATTATTAGATTCTGACAGGAGAATTATCTTTGCTGCCCTGTCTTAGCAAGATTATACGTTAGGTACAGTAGTATAAAAGAAAGTAAACTCATTATGCGACAAAACTCTGGGAGACAATTCCAAATACACTCAATGCAACCATACCCCGTACAAGCAGTCTAAATCAGATATTTGCCCCTCCATTGACAGGGATGATTTGGCCTATTCGTTCAGATGCACAGCGATCAGCATTCCAGTCCCCACCATGACCCTTGCATCGGGGCAGAAGGAAGGGAAAGAAACAGAAAGAAACTCACCGTTCACCCATTCCGCATCCGGACTCGCCAGGAATGAAACCACCTTGCCAATGTCCTCGGGCACACCGCACCGCTTCAACGGACTCCCGCTCGCCAGCGCTGTCTCGATCTCCTCTAGCGACGAGCCCTTGTCGCACCCGGGAGCATACCGCCATGCGTTCTCCCGCCACATGTCGCTCTTGACCCCCGCCGGCGCTATCGCATTGACCGTGCACCCCTTGCGCCCAAAATCGGCCGCCAAGCACCGAGTGAACCCCTCAATGGCCGCCTTGCTTCCCGCGTACAGCGCGTGGCCCGGCACCCCCAGGCCCGCTGCAATCGAGGACATGAGGATCACCCGGCCGCCTGGCTGGATGTGGTCGTAGGCGTAGCGGGCCACAAACATCTGTGCCCGAGTGTTGAGATCAAACACCTCGTTGAAGTCTTCGAGCGTTGTCTCTTCCAGGGGCTTGAACTTCTCCATCCCGGAGTTGGAGACCACAATGTCCAGCCGGCCGAAGTGGCTGACCACCTGCTTGATGAGCGACTCGATGTTGGGCACGCAGGTCAGGTCTGCCTTGATGGCGACCGCCTGGTTGCCGATGGCCTGGATGGCTTCAACAACCTCTTGAGCCGACTTGGCGCTGTGCCCGTAGTTGATGGCCACGGAGGCGCCTCGACGGGCCAGTTCGAGGGCAATGCCGGCCCCGATACCTCGGCCGCCGCCGGTCACTAGGGCGACCTTGCCGCTGAGGGGGAGATGTGTTCCTGTGTTCACCATTTTGGAGATCGAATGGATAGAGTGTAGAGGTGTTTGTTTAGCGTGTTTGTTTAGGTGTACATGGCCACTATAGGTTGTGATCATCTTTATATACAGACTGCATCTACTGGCCAAGCGCCCAATTACAATTGATAAGCCAAGAAGCCTTACCGAAATTGCACTTCATTGTTTCACCTGAAGGAATGTGTGCAATGAGATTGTCTAAGACAGGAATGTTGCTGTTTTCGAATTCCGCTCCCAGCTGATATGCTTTAGGATAGACAGAACGACAACATGAGACACATGGCTCTGTGCTCTGTTTGCGACGGTCTACTCCTTGCATGATGCTGACCGTGTAATGATCTAATATTTATGACTGCGCATCAGCTACTGAGACCTAAAATTCGAGCCCTCATTACTCGGATTCAAAAATACCAATCGATCAGACAGACAGACATACCCTCACATCACAATGGTCGAAAAGAAGCCCAATCTGACGATCGAATTCCAAGGTATGATGCACCGATGATAGATGTTTGACATTGACTAACCGCTCAGACTATCTTGCCCTAAAAAAAGTCCTCTTTGACTGGGCAGACAGCTATGACGCCAAGGTAAGTTCACGTCTAGCGGCCTGGAGAATGACATTCACCCAGGGTAGGATTGGGATCGACTTCGAAGCATCATCGCCCCGACCCTGACCGTCGACTACACGCAGATTGGTCTGCGCAAGTGGAGTGACATGTCTGCTGAAGACTACATGGCCATGGTTACCGACATCGACTTCTTGGGTGACCCCACCATCAAGACCCAGCATCTGCTGGGCGAGTCCTGGTGGGAGAAGATCTCCGATACAGAGGTCATTGGCCACCATCAGCTGCGCGCCGCCCATCAGGTCTACACGGACAGCACCTTGCAAACTGTCAAGCTCAAGGGGCACGGGCATGCCACCAATGAGCACTACTACCGCAAGATCGACGGCGTGTGGAAGTTCGCTGGCCTGAAACCTACCGTGCGGTGGAATGAGTATCAGTTCGAGGATGTCTTCCGTGCCACGAAGTGATCAGTCTTGAGTATAGATAGGATTAGCATAAGTACTATTTTATGTGAGACAAGATTTGTCATTTGCAGCTCCCTCATAACGACCAAACCTTACTTCCAGAATGTGCGGGGAGATCGCAAAGCATGTAAATCTTGTGGCATTTGGGATAAGCACGACCAACGTATTTGGCCTGGGATGAGGTCTGACCCGGAGAGTCTGTATGTAGTGCCCTCAATGCAAATGCAACCCTACGTCTGGATCGCAGAACGACGAGAGTAACCTGAATTCTTGGCAGTGGTTTGAGTAAGAATAGAATCGATCTTGATGATGGCCTGACTTCGGCCGGCCCCCATTGTAATGGGCACACTGTGCAGGACGGCGGTGTTCAAAGTCTGCAATTGACGTAATTCATGACCGGAGTGATCTCAGAGTAGTCAACTGGACCTGAGCAGAGACAGAAAGATGAGCGAGTCATTGCCAAATGCGGACATTCTTGGGGGCTGGAATGCTTGGGTCTCCTAGCGCTCCGCCGGTCTTCCCTAATGTCCCAGACTTCCGCTTCCACCGGTACCCAATGGTGGCTGTCTCACATTGAATTCCATCGTTGTTTCTCTTTTCGGAAGAAAAGCAACATCGATCAGAATTTGCAGTTCCCGCATCCATTGAGGCGTGGTCGTGGGGAAAAGCAGCTCGCGGGCCTAGAATTCCATGGAAGGGGGCACAGTCAGCTCCTGCGATGCTTTGGGAGGCTCACATCAAACCGAAATATGCTTTCGTCCTTTCCCGATTTGCAGTAGAGCCGATTGTGCGTCCTCATTGCTCAAATCGCAGTGCTGCTTGCAAGTGGGATGATGGGCGTCGGGGTCCAAAATCGAGACATGCAATCTGATCTCCCAGAGCGGACAATGCCCAAAACCTGTTATCCGGCCAGGCCGGGTGGATCTGCCATTGAAGAGGTTGGATTCTGGCCGTGTTTAAGTTGCACTTAAAGACTCCTCTTTTCGGAGTGGGCTGTTGTTTTCTCTGCTTCATACCAAACCCCATGTGCTGCGGTCCAGAATAACCACCACTCCTTGCAGTCACAGGCCGCGCAAACCACTCGCCATGGAGGATCTCCGTCGCATATATCTCTTTGGAGATCAGACAATCAGTTGTGACGAAGGCCTCCGCAACCTATTGCAGGCGAAGAACCATACTATCGTCGCCTCGTTCATCGAAAGATGCTTCCACGCACTGCGCCAGGAAATCACCAGGCTGCCGCCTTCTCAGCGCACACTCTTCCCGCGATTCACCAGCATCGCCGACTTGCTTGCTCGGCATCGTGAGTCAGGGACAAACCCTGCGCTGGGGAGTGCGTTGACCTGTATCTATCAACTGGGATGTTTCATCGAGTAAGTCCCTTTCAATAGGTTTCCCAGAACATGGCTAAGTGCAAATAGTTACCACGGTGATCGTGGACATCCATATCCTTCCTCGGATGACGGCCTTCTGGGTTCATGTACGGGTATGCTGAGTTGCGCCGCTGTCAGCTCGTGCAAGAATGTCGGAGAACTACTGCCGCTGGCAGTCGAGGTTGTCAAATTGACTATTCACCTCGGGCTTTGTGTCATGAGAGTCCGAGAAATGGTGGACTCGTCTGAGTCATCCTCCGGCAGCTGGTCGATCCTCGTTTCTGAGATTAATGAGGCAGATGCCGCCAACTTGATTAGCAGTTTCGCTAAGAAGCGAGTAAGTACAGCGTACAACCGTTGGAAGAAAATACTGACATACCAGGGAATTACCCCCTCGTCGCAACCATACATCAGCGCAGTTGGATCGAAAGGTCTCACCATTAGCGCACCACCCGACATTCTCGACAAGTTCATCGAAGAAGGTCTTCCGAAGGAGTACAAACACTTCAAGGCTCCTGGGGTCAGCGGCCCGTACCACGCGCCGCATCTGTACAATGATCGAGAGATTCGCGAGATCCTCAGCTTCTGCTCCGACGACGTAATTTCGCGCCACACGCCACGGGTTCCATTGGTCTCGAGCAACACAGGGAAGCTGGTCCAGGTGAAGAGCATGCGTGATCTGTTGAAGGTAGCTCTGGAGGAAATCCTCTTGCGCAAGATCTGCTGGGACAAAGTCACAGAGTCTTGCCTTTCCATCGTTCACGCTGCCAACGACAAGCCCTGGAGGATTCTCCCTATCGCCAGCAACGCCACGCAAGGCTTGGTTACTGCCCTTCAGCGTATGGGCAACTGCCAGGTCGAGGTAGACACCGGTGTCGGCGCTCCTCAAATGGACCCGGCCGCTCCGAATGCTACGGGCAACGCATCACGGTCTAAGATCGCCATTATCGGAATGTCGGGACGTTTCCCCGAGGCAGATGGCGTCGAAGCCTTTTGGGACTTGTTGTACAAAGGTCTGGACGTTCACAAAAAGGTCCCGCCTGAGCGATGGGATGTCGACGCCCACGTGGACGTGACCGGTACAAAGCGGAACACCAGCAAAGTCCCATACGGTTGTTGGATTAACGAGCCCGGTCTATTTGATGCCCGTTTCTTCAACATGTCTCCACGAGAGGCACTTCAGGCAGACCCTGCACAGCGACTGGCGCTGTTATCGGCTTACGAGGCCCTAGAAATGGCAGGCTTTGTTCCGAACAGCAGCCCGTCAACTCAGAGAGACCGCGTCGGCATCTTCATGGGTATGACCAGTGATGATTATCGTGAGATCAACAGCGGCCAGGACATTGATACTTACTTCATTCCTGGCGGCAACCGAGCATTCACCCCCGGTCGAATCAACTACTACTTCAAGTTCAGTGGCCCTAGTGTAAGTGTTGATACCGCCTGCTCGTCCAGTCTTGCTGCCATCCACTTGGCCTGCAACGCCATCTGGAGGAATGATTGCGACACCGCCATCAGTGGTGGAGTGAATCTCCTCACTAACCCTGACAACCATGCCGGTCTGGATCGTGGCCACTTCCTGTCTCGGACAGGCAACTGCAACACCTTTGATGACGGCGCGGATGGCTACTGCCGGGCTGACGGGGTGGGCACGATCGTCCTGAAGCGTTTGGAGGATGCCGAGGCTGACAATGATCCCATTCTGGGAATCATCAACGCCGCCTACACCAATCACTCGGCCGAAGCCGTCTCCATTACCCGTCCTCATGTCGGCGCCCAGGCGTTCATCTTCAACAAGCTCCTCAACGACACCAACACCAACCCACACGAGGTCGGCTACGTGGAAATGCACGGAACCGGTACTCAGGCGGGTGACGCCGTCGAAATGCAGTCCGTCCTGGATGTCTTTGCACCCGACTACCGCCGCGGCCCGGCCAATTCCCTTTACCTTGGTTCCGCCAAGTCGAACATCGGGCACGGAGAATCAGCTTCAGGAGTGACATCCCTGGTCAAGGTGTTGTTGATGTTGAAGCAGAATATGATCCCGCCGCACTGTGGAATCAAAACAAAGATCAACCACAACTTCCCCACGGATTTGGCCCAGCGCAATGTTCATATTGCCTTCAAGCCAACCCCCTGGAACAGACCAGTATCAGGCAAGCGGAAGATGTTCATCAACAACTTCTCTGCTGCGGGCGGTAACACCGCTCTTCTGATGGAAGATGCTCCCCTGCGTGAGATCACAGGGCAGGATCCCCGAAATGTGCATGTGGTGTCTGTGACGGCACGATCCCAGACTGCGCTGAAGCGTAACATCAACGCCTTGATCAAGTACATCAACACGCATGCGCCCTCGTCGCCGGCGAATGAGCGACGGTTCCTGGCCAGTCTGGCTTATACCACCACTGCGCGTCGCATGCATCACCCATTCAGGGTCACCGCTGTCGGATCGAGTGTGAAAGATATCCGTGATGCCCTGCGTCAACGTGCCGATCAGGATGTCACAACTCCCGTGCCCGCCACAGCCCCCAAGACTGGGTTCATCTTCACCGGCCAGGGAGCTCAGTACACTGGAATGGGCAAGCAGTTGTACGAGGATTGTGTCGCATTCAGAAGCACGATTCACCGACTCGATTGCATTGCTCAAAGCCAGGGGTTGCCCTCTATTCTCCCCTTGATTGACGGTAGTGTACCCGTGGAAGAACTGAGCCCTGTCGTGACGCAGCTGGGAACCACATGCCTCCAAATGGCTCTGGTCAACTACTGGAAGGGACTTGGTGTCACTCCTGCGTTTGTTCTGGGTCACAGCCTGGGAGATTACGCAGCGTTGAACACTGCTGGTGTCTTGTCTACCAGTGACACGATTTACCTCTGTGGCCGTCGCGCTCAGCTTCTCACGGAGCAGTGTCAGATGGGGACCCACGCCATGCTTGCCGTCAAGGCTGCCGTCTCCGAGATTCAACATCTGCTTGATCCCGAGGCTCATGCCGTCGCCTGCATCAACGGTCCCACCGAGACTGTCATCAGCGGGCTCAGCGGCCGAATCGATGAGTTGGCACAGCAGTGCTCCAGCCAGAATCTCAAGTCCACCAAACTCAAAGTGCCGTTCGCGTTCCACTCGGCCCAAGTGGACCCGATTCTCGAATCGTTCGAAGAGAGCGCCCAGGGAGTTGTTTTCCACAAGCCTGCCGTCCCATTCGTCTCGGCTCTGAACGGAGAGGTCATCACGGAGTCGAACTATAACTTGCTGGGCCCGAAGTATATGGTGAAGCATTGTCGGGAAGCCGTCAATTTCCTTGGTGCTCTTGAGGCCACTCGGCACGCCAAGTTGATGAATGACGCCACACTGTGGGTCGAAGTGGGATCGCATCCCATCTGCTCGGGAATGATCAAGTCCACCTTTGGTCCGCAGGCGACTACCGTTCCTTCCCTCCGCCGCGACGACGATCCATGGAAGATCCTCTCCAACAGTCTCTCGACGTTGCACCTTGCAGGCGTCGAGCTCACCTGGAAGGAATTCCACCAGGACTTCAGCTCGGCTCACGAGGTTCTCGAGTTGCCCCGGTACGGATGGGACCTGAAGAATTACTGGATCCCTTACACGAACAACTTCTGCCTTACCAAGGGGGCTCCCGTTACCGCGGAGGTATCGGCGCCCAAGTCTACCTTCCTCACGACTGCGGCGCAAAAGATTGTGGAATGCCGTGAGGAAGGAAGCACGGCGACATTGGTGATTGAGAATAATATTGCGGATCCAGAACTCAACCGTGTTATCCAAGGCCACAAGGTCAACGGAGTGGCTCTAACGCCATCGGTAAGTTTAACTGTACTCACCATTTCGAATGAGAAAGCTGACCTATATACGTAGTCTCTCTACGCAGATATTGCGCAAACGCTCGTCGACCACTTGATCACCAAATACAAACCAGAGTACCAGGGCCTGGGTCTGGATGTCTGCGACATGACGGTGCCTAAACCTCTCATTGCCAAGTCCGGGGATCAATTCTTCAGAGTCTCGGCGGTGATGAGCTGGGCCGAGCAGAAGGCGAGCGTACAAGTCTGGTCTGTGAACGCAGACGGCAAGAAAACGGTCGAGCACGCCAACTGCACAGTCAAGCTTTTCAACTGCGCGGAGCGGGAAACGGAGTGGAAGAGAATCTCCTACCTGATCAAGCGAAGCGTGTCTCTCCTGCAGGACAAGGCTCAGACCGGGGAGGCTCACCGCATGCAGCGAGGAATGGTGTACAAGCTGTTTGCTGCTCTGGTGGACTATGACGAAAACTTCAAGGCCATCCAGGAAGTCATCCTGGATAGCAATCAGCACGAAGCCACGGCGCGAGTCAAGTTCACAGCCCCTGCGGGCAACTTCCATCGCAACCCCTTCTGGATCGACAGTTTCGGCCATCTGTCTGGGTTCATCATGAATGCCAGCGATGCGACCGACTCCAAGAACCAGGTATTCGTCAACCACGGATGGGACTCCATGCGCTGCCTGAAGAGGTTCTCCGGCGACAACACTTACCAGACCTATGTAAAGATGCAGCCGTGGAAGGACTCCATCTGGGCGGGTGACGTCTATGTCTTTGAGGGGGATGACATTATCGCTGTGTACGGGGGTGTTAAGGTATACCGCAAATCTCCTAACTGAAAGAAGTGATTTTTACTAACGGTGGCCTATAGTTCCAAGCGTTAGCTCGAAAGATCCTGGATACGGTTCTTCCGCCAGTCGGAGGGCCCAAGACAGCCAGTGCGCCGGTGCCAGCCAAGCCTATTGCGGAGAAGAAAGCTCCTCCCCCTATCAAGGTCACTGGTCCTCCCAAGCCCAACCCAAGCAACGCACGTGCTGCATCACCAGTGGTTGCACGGGCATTGGAGATCCTGGCTGCAGAGGTTGGCCTGTCCGAAGCAGAAATGACCGACAGTCTCAATTTTGCCGACTACGGAGTCGACTCGCTGCTCTCCTTGACGGTGACCGGTAGGTATCGTGAAGAACTGAACCTCGACCTTGAATCGTCCGTGTTCATGGATTACCCAACCATCAAGGATTTCAAGGCATACCTGGCTGAGAAGGGCTTCTGCGACAGCAGCAGTCCCGAGCCGTCCAGCGAGCCCGAGTCCAAGTTCTCTTTCAACAGCGACGCATCATCGGAATCTTCCAGCGGACTTACCACTCCTGGGATTCCCTCTCCTGTGAAGCAAGTGGCGCCCAAGGATGGACAAAACAAGGTTTGGAATAGCATCTGCAGTATCATCGCCGAGGAGATCGGGGTATCGGTCGGAGACATTGATCCCACCGACAGCTTGCCAGAAATGGGCATGGACTCTCTGCTGTCCCTGACCGTGCTCGGTCGGATCCGAGAGACACTCGACATCGACCTGCCTTCAGAGTTCTTCCTCGAGAACCCGACACTGAACGCGGTCCAAGCTGCGCTGGACTTGAAGCCGAAGATGGTGCCTGCGTCTACGCCTGTCTCAGAACCCATCAGGCGTCTCGAGACGATCAACAACAAGAAGCCGAAGGCCACTCAGCATCCTCCGGCGACCTCGATCCTTCTTCAGGGCAACCCCCGCACCGCCACCAAAAAGCTCTTCATGTTCCCCGACGGTTCTGGCTCCGCCTCCTCCTACGCGACGATTCCGGCCCTCTCCCCCGATGTCTGTGTCTACGGCCTTAACTGCCCTTACATGAAGACACCTCAGAATCTCACGTGCAGTCTCGACGAACTGACCGAGCCATATCTCGCTGAGATCCGCCGTCGTCAGCCCAAGGGGCCCTACAGCTTTGGTGGTTGGTCGGCCGGTGGTATCTGCGCCTTTGACGCAGCCCGTCAGCTGATCCTCGAGGAAGGGGAGGAGGTGGAGCGATTGCTTCTGCTCGACTCGCCCTTCCCCATCGGTCTGGAGAAGTTGCCCCCTCGTCTGTACAAGTTCTTCAACTCGATCGGGCTCTTTGGCGACGGGAAGCGGGCGCCTCCCGACTGGCTCCTACCCCACTTCCTTGCCTTCATCGACTCGCTCGATGCCTACAAAGCGGTTCCTCTGCCGTTCAACGACAACAAATGGGCCAAGAAGATGCCCAAGACCTACCTGATCTGGGCCAAGGACGGGGTCTGCGGCAAGCCGGGCGATCCCCGGCCGGAGCCTGCAGAGGATGGGTCCGAGGACCCCCGCGAAATGAAGTGGCTCCTCAACGACCGCACGGATCTGGGGCCAAATAAATGGGATACGCTGGTCGGGCCGCAAAACATTGGCGGAATCCATGTGATGGAGGAAGCGAATCATTTCACCATGACGACGGGACAGAAGGCGAAGGAGTTGTCAGAATTCATGGCCAAGGCCATGAGTTCCTAGGTTGGGGTGGAGTTGTGCATACCTAAATTGTTTTTTTTTCCGGCTAATAATCGCAACATGTACTTTACTCCCCTTCTCAACTGTAACTTAAACCGATTTTAGTTGCGTCTGCAGGATCTAATGGATGTCTTTTTTGAATGTGAATATCTGAGACGCCAACAAGGACGTGGCTTGGCTTGGCTTATACACAACACAGCCTTGTAGTATCTAGCCTAGTAGGACTATTCTTGAACGAGGCTTGGATATGCCAAGAGCGGGGGGGTTCTGCCAATGCTGATCATTTGATGATGCTCTTCGATGCCATTTGATGTCATTGGTGTTTAATGATGGTTGATGAAGCTGCCTTGGCTGTGTGTTGGTGACGAGGTCAAAAGTGTGTTGACTGTTCGCGTTACAAATATATTCTCGAGTCACGGGACCGCGAGAGAGCCTTAGGAGTTCAGGCCGAAGTGAGTGGCTGAAGCAGATTTCCTCCCAATGGAATAATACTTAAGATGTACTACTCCGTATGGCGGTGTCGAGCCTTCAAGCATTCATAAGAGATCAGTTCATGATCTCTTAAACAGCTAAAAAGTTCTAGAAGGGGTGCTGAGGATGGCGGTTCAAGCCGAACGTGAGATCTACGCTGTCATAAGCAGAGCACGTTATGGCCTTACCACCGAGACCGAGGTCTATGCTTCGATCACTTTGATGCTGTGTGATATTATTGCATGATAATACTGCAGAATCAATGTTACATCAACTGTCTTACAGAGCAAGCTTATCTGGACTCGTCAATTCAATGCTTTGGTCTATTATTATTGCCAAAGGGTGAGGGGTTTTAATTCTTTTACGATGGCCTATGATCTATTGAATATAAAACCAGACTAATGGGAAGGAAGCTAATTTGATAGGTAAGGATCACGCGATCAACTGCCCATCTGATCTCACCGATGTTGTCCGGGAGGATCTCCAACGAAGGATGGAAGTATAGAAGGATGGAAATGAGCAGACATCAACCACTGTAGTTCAGGCCAAGTCATGACTCCTGATGGTGCACATCCCCTTGTCCTCTAGTAACATTACTATCTATCACCTCGAGCGTTGAGGCCTGAGGGGAGAAATGAGACACGACTCCGGATAACCGACCGCAACGAACCAATCATAAAACATTTCGGAATTACTTTGACACATTGCTAGATCTAATTGGTCGAAGCTAGAGACACTGCCCCGTGTGGCCAGTCCCAAACAGGAAAGGGATCACTGGGTCTGGCGCTGAGCGTGTGTCATCTTGCCTCTTTGGGTTTAGCCTCAGAATCACACCCCTCAAAAAAAAGAACAAAAGCACCTATTCTGGGCATAAAATGAAAAAAGGATTGAAAAGGGGGCACCTAAAGTAAAGATCTCGCCTCGTGGTAATTGATCTTGGACACTCATTTCATTAAGCTCAAGAAGAACACAATACTCTGTACAGAATGTCATTGTCGTAGGGGATACCTCTTGCAGAGCTTTCGTCTTCCATTGGAAAAGTAAAAAAGTCAGCTGCTGGGAGCCTGGGGCCACTTATTTTCAGGGACTCCGCATTTCTAAAATAAGTCATCTCCTCCACTTGGATGATTCTGCCACCGATCATTGGCGTATTAGGATTTACAGGCAAATACTGGCGCTCAATCAGGGGCGAAATCCAACGCCCCAGGGTCTAGGGTCCTAGGGTCAATTTGAATCCGTGTCTCCATCTCGTGTTTCAAACTGTGCGGCGGAGGGTTTTCCAAATGTGCCTGATCTCAATAGTCCCTACTGATCTATCCCACTCCTGCGGCTCCTACCGGCGCTGTAGACTACTGTAGGGACTATCGTGTACTTAGTGCCGAGTGTCTGCCTTGCCCCGAGTGGATTCTCTAGTCCAAAGAGCTTCCAAGCTAATCCCAAGGCCGACTTAGAGTGACATCGTTCGTCTCCTCTCAAAAACACCAATAAATTCTCTTCTTCTGATTACTGTCGTTCTTGTCCTTTCCTCCATCCATCCCTCCATATCTTTTGACTCTTCGACGACTTCTTCACTCCTTTCGAGCTCCTCTTTCAACAAGAGCTTCGTCATCTTCTCATCCTCATCGATGCGTTCTCCGTCTTGTTGAATGCGGATGTCTCCTCTCTCGTAGCAATTCTTGCTGATCGCGTGCCCCATCGTGGGCTATGCGAGGTCCCCTTTTGAATACAAATAACATAACATAATCATATCGCTGAGAAGCTGTCATCGTCTCCTTGATCGTCATGAACTTCTTCAAGTTCTCCGAGCTCGTCGATCAGCTCGTTCGAGTCGTCCGAGATTCCCCCGCGCACACCTTCGACCGGTGGTGGAGTGTATCGCGGAAATTCTTCTTCACCCTCACCTTCGTCTCACTGATCTGGGCCAAATTCTTACACATATATACTCATCTCTACTCATTACCGCTGGCCAAATTACTTCTATGGGGTCCGACCTTCTTTTTCCAGGATGTCATCTTTATCCTCGTCGTCCGTCTGCTCACCAAAACCATCCCCTGGCGACCCGGCGCCGTTCTCGCTGCACTATGCACCGTGCCATTCAGGTAGATAACAACCATTCCTTCTGAAATCGTCTGAACCACCGATAACTGATTATTGTTGTCTTACTAGTTTGCTGATGTCTGGCATGGCGTCTTCCGCCACCTCCTTTTACGTCGTGACCGGCGCCGAGATCCACTGGCGACAGGTCCGCACTTTTCAGAGCGATGCGGCTGCCGTTCGGACCCTGCTCACCGGCTTGACAGGGTTTCTGATCGTGGAAGCTATCATAATTGCTGCCTCCTGGTTCCTGGCGGCACCCATCCACCGAGCTACGGGTGGGGTCTTACGGATCTTGGGGACGCCCTTGCAGAGGCTAGCGCAACGGATCTGGAGCCTTCGTTGCCCGCAGTGGAGGAGGAAGACCAGTCCCAAGGATCCCGAGCGGTATGAACAGATTGCGGTGGATGATTACCTGGACGACAAGAGTGACGACGGAGACTCGGTGTTTCTCCTCGACCCGATGAGTCACGAGACCCCCGTCAGACATCACGAATCGCTGTTCAAACGTCTAGCCGTCTTCGTCTTCTTCGGCGCTTATATACTGCTCCGATGCCTTCGCCCCCCCAATCCGTCGTACATGTTCCTGTCCGGGTCGCTGCCCGTCGTCCCATTCGCCCCAGCGAACCGCGGCGGGTCACCGATCGATGCCGACGTGATGCCGGGAGACTACCGCTGGCTGGAAGGTCGCTCGGCGATGGATAAGGCGCCGAAGTGGGATTGGCTGCCGAGCGATCCGATCGCCGGGTTCGAGGATTGGTATCCGGGATTCGAGGAAGATCATCCACCGCATCATGGACCGCATCACGGACCGGATCACAAGCCGCATCATCGCCGTCGTCCTCCCCCGCTGCATTACAACCCGGCCAAGGATCCGTTGCACATCTCCAATCTACAGAATCCCGTGTTAGAACCCCTGAAGGAAGCACTCGCCAGCGGAAATGTGAGCATCAAACACGTCATCCTGCTGAAATTGGAGAGCACCCGCGCGGACATCTTTCCGCTCCGCAAGGACTCGTTCATGTGGAATCGTATCGCCGATTCCCACCCGAACCACACCATTCCCGATGCCGTGCAGCAGAAACTGGCCAAGTTGACCCGGACGGCGGAGTACCTCACCGGGTTTGATTCGGGCTTTGCGCGCGACCCGGCCGCACACAATGGAAGAAAGGCGTTCGGTGGCATCAGCGCCCGCAATGCCTTCACCACGGGCACCTACACGCTCAAGAGTCTGGTCGGAACTATCTGCGGCGTTACCCCATTGGTGACCGATTTCAACCGCGAGTACAAGCATCACATCTACCAACCCTGCATGCCGCATGTCCTCAACGCCCTCAACCGTCAGATTGACTTCGCGAACAGAACCAAGGATTTCACTTCGTGGCCCTGGCACTCCATGTGGATGCAGTCCGTGACTGAGGGCTACGACAAGCAAAACGAGCTGACTCCGCGACTGGGATACAAGGATATTCTCGCCAAGGAGCAGCTGGAAAGCCCCAGCGCCAAGCACTATCCGGTCAAGTCCAAGGAGATCAACTATTATGGATACCCCGACACCGAGCTGCGCGAGTACTTTCGCGATGCGATCGACGACGCCGAGCGGGAACACAAGCGACTGTTCATCACTCACCTGACCGGTACGACTCACCATCCGTGGGGGATGCCCAACAACAGCTACCAGCACTTCATGGGCGACAAGAACTTCAAGGCCAAGGACGATCTCAACAAGTATCTGAACACGATCGGTTTCATCGACAATTGGCTGGCGGAGATCATGGACATTCTCCACGAGAAGGGCGTCGCGGACGAGACCCTGCTCGTCATGGCCGGCGATCACGGATTATCTCTTCCCAACGACGGAGGCGTCACCCCCTACGACAATCCGCATATCGGCAGTTTCCAGGTCCCCATCGTATTTGCTCATCCCAAACTCCCGCCCGTCGAGATCACGTCGCCCGTGATCTCCGACCAGATCGTGCCCACGATCCTGGATCTCTTGATTGAGTCTTCGTCGCTGGAGAAAAAGGCCACCCGTGCGGCCAAGGACGTGCTGTCCCTCTATGAAGGGCAGTCCATGATTCGGCCCCTGATCCCCGAGAAGGACGGCAAGCAAGACTGGCAGTTCACCGTGATGAACACGGGCGGTTCCTGGCTGGCAGTGCGCTCTGCGGCCAAACCCGCCTTCCGGCTCGTCATCCCCCTCATCGACGACCTGGAGTGGCGGTTCACGGATCTGGAAAAGGATCCCAACGAACTCCACCCGATCAAGAACTTTGACCTGATTGATCTGGCCCGGAAACTCGAAAAACAGTACGGCCGAGAAGTGACCGACTGGGTCCGCGACGCCGCTCATGTTGCATCGTGGTGGGTGGCCGAAAACTGGCGTCGCTACCGGTATCGTCCCGAGCCCAAGCATTGACGATTGCATATATCTTCTT